GCCGCGACTCTGGCTCTCTTATATCGGTCAGCGGGGCACCGTGTATCCTTCCGCCGACTGTCCTCTCGCTATTCTCTGCGAGAACTCTTACGACACGAACACAACCGCTGCCAACAATTGACAGAGGGCACATCACTGCTTCGAACCTTCGAACACAGGAGATCTTGGTGGGTCAAGAGACAGATACATACATCGTAGTCGATGGCCTTGTGTTTGGCGGATCGCGCATTTTTGGTATTCCCTATCCCTGCTTTCCCTTCATCCGCTCACGGTATGCTCATCTCTACGCGGATACGCAGTCGCCGGATCCATCACTGAGGCCGAGGTTGACCTCGCAACCTTGGTGCTCGACTCGCTTTCCCTCATAGATATCGTCGGTTATCCGCGGTTGGGAGCCGAGGCTCCGCGCACACTATGCGAACCGCGAGGAATAAGAGTTTTTGATGATGATGATGGTAGCGATCCTCCCGTCCACCGATTCTCGTCCGTCAGTATCCCCGTCGGCTCGTTCAACCAAGAACCAGCGAACGAGCCAGCCAGCTGGAGATCTTATTGGGTTTCAAATTATGACGGAAACTCGACCCTTCATGGAGCGGTTGATATCCGCATGAAGCACGGGAAAAAGATGAAGACCCCGCGGCTCTCCGGCTCGCCGTCTTTTCCGCAATCTCCCTTCCATCTGCTCTGTCCAACTGTCCTCCACTGCCGTCTCGCAGGCTTCGGTCGCGATTTTCCCATCAGCTCCTGGTCGGCAGCGCGTCTTTTCCTATCTGAGAGCCGTCGTTTCCCCAGCCGTTTCGGATTCGAACTCGTCGAGTGGTTTGAAGCGCAACGGACTGATAGAGAAAAATGGGGCCTGTTTCGTCATGAGCCGATGGAGAAGGATGCAGGCTGACCGACGAAACGAGATACGTGAGTGATGGAATCAAACCCAGAGAAGGCACACGGGACGGGGAAGGGGTTTGCGTTCCGAGCAGCAAAAAGTTGCCCATCGAAGAGAATAATGAGTCTCCGGCCCGGGTCTTGCAGAGAGCGAGTTCTCCAGGCGCGGAGCTCAGCCGTCTCATTATCATCATCATGGTATCGCCATCACAGCTTTTGTCTCGTCCGTGGCATGGGTTCTCCGCCCATTCCCCCTTCTCATGTCGTCATTCGCCTTCTCATGTCTGCGTGGCGTTCCACGCTGGCCGAATCCAGCGTCGGAGACTCGCGGGGATGCGGCATGTGCCCTCGAGTTCATCTTCACTCCATCCATATACTCCCGAGCTCTCCATCGCGGATGATGAACTTGAATCATAGCGAGGTGGAATCGACTGCGGACTGCAATCTACGGGGAGTGTCGAGGGCTCCTGTAGGCCGCCGAATGCCTTCTGTGTTCTTCTCGGCTCAGTCACCGGCTCTCTGTCTGTCGGCGATCCTCGTTCCGCTAAGCGACGCCGGTAATGCAGGCTTTTTGTCTGAAAATGACGCAAAAGCTCCCTGTTGAGCTCATGAGGAGCTTGATAAGTTAGCGAGGTAAGTCATTGATCTCGACCGCCCAAGTAGCCATTATTTCTCGAGCTGTCTTCATTATCCGCCGGTCGTAGAGCTTGACTGAGCGAGTCGGTTCGCCCGTGCGACATCCAGTCGGCGACTAGTCTCGTCTGAGCAGCCCGAGAGCCTGGCTCAACTCCGCATAACCGACGGGAGAACCTCGTTCCTAAGACGATGACGAGTGCAACAAGCGGCCTGTTATGTGGTGTTAATCCGCGCAGAGCTCAGGCTCCCACTCACGAGTCCGTCACAGAGCTATCATAGACCGATTACCATCCGTGGAGGAGGGAAATTGGTTCCATGTTTAGCTGTGGGCGAGCAGGAGACTCGGAATTGTGTATACGGTCGGACGTGCAATAAACTCCACCTTACGACCATCGTCGCAAGACGAGGAGAAAGGAAGGGGGCCGGTTGGGGACGAGAATGCGGAGGTTGCCTCGATCGCGGATTGGCGCGACGTCAAGCTTCTGCTTCTCAGACGCTGTAGCCTCGCCCGGTCGCTGCCTTTCTCCGCTGTCTAGCCCGCTTACATGTCGAATCCAGACAGCGAAATACCGAAACAGCGGATCGACCTCACTCCTCGCGTGGCTGCCGACCGCACGCTTGCACGTCACTCGTAACGTTAGAGAATCGTTCTTGCTCAATAAGGTGGCTCGGATGCAGCATCCCGATCAGCGAGGAATTACGCCCTGTCCCAAGCCTGAGCGATGGCTCCTTGAAGGACCGACTATAAAACCGAAAATTGTTAATCGGAATTCCGCTCTTCTTTCTCTGTATTTTGGGGAGCCTATGCGGCTCTTCGGTGCGAAGGGCGACCCGGGACCCGGATCGCTTCGTCAGGAGCGCGAATTATTGTTCCGGGTGGAAAAACGTAGACGTCCCTCGGTTTTTCCCCGACTGATTCGGTCCTCCCCCAGGAGGAGCCCCCTGTATTTATCGAAGCACCACTGTCGATCTGCCGATTCAGCCAAGGTGCGGAACAGAACCGCGGGTGCTTGTCGCAGAGACTCTCTCCGAGTCAAACACTGAGCAGGGTGATTTTCCCAGAGCGTTCAGAGATGAGTGATGAGGTAATGTCCGCGCTGGTGCGCCTGCGCGAGACGCAGGTCGAACACGGCATATGCGTTTCGCCACGGAGTTTCTTCTTAGAGAGGACGAGTGTCTCTCAACGCGACAAACGACAAATGCGCGCAATCCGTATCGAGTCTCACGATCGATGAAAATCTCAGCCACCGTCCAAGGTTTGAAGCGCGGCATCCGGACTGGCTGGGCAGACTGACACGGGATCGCTGGGGAAGCTTCGATGCATTACACATTCCGGCGATTAATGGATGCTCCACGACGCAATATTCGCCGTAAGAATCGATGCTCCGATAGCTGTCGCGGGCTCGTATCTGATTGTGAGAGTTCCGCCGTTCAGAGTCGTCTGCAGAAGATGTCTCCATCAAGCGATTCAAGAATTATTCACGTCCAGACAGCGGAAAAAGACGAAAAATCCTCCGCCGAATCGGAACAAGCTCGTATCTTTGATTACAAATGCCTCGTCCATCTGAAATCTATGAATGATCACTCCTCGGAGCGATCTCCGTCCTGTCTGTGCGCCGGATGTTTTCCTTCTGCGCCTTGATCTCTTCATTTGAAGGATTTTTCTCGTTTCCCCCTCCCGCTGCTCCTCGACCGCTCGAGATCGCGGAAGCAATTTGGCCCCGTTTTTGATTCGATATTCGGATCAGGAAAACGAGCCGAGTGGAATATCGGCCCTCCTCTCGACCCGGCGTGGAACGAGACGGTTCCTGGATTTTCCTCTGGAATTTCCCGCGCGAGCCACACACACGGGAACTAATGATGGCGCTCGTGAAGAGAAGGCTTAGCGCACGTAGGGAGCAAGTGGTTATGGGCTGAACGAGGCGGCGAGGCGAGTTGGCTTGTATTAGAATTAGCTCGCGTAGAGGGTCGAGTCCCCATGGATGAAAAAGGAGCACGAAAGAGATTTGATGCTCCCGACTCCACTGAGATGACATTCTCCGGGGCAATACAGCGGCTTGGCACGTCTGCTCCTCTTCGCGAAATTGGCTCTCTTGGGAGCTCTCCCTTGATTCTTTTCCAGCAGCTTTGGGTGGCGGTAAACATCATCAAGATACTATCTCACGGAAACAAATTTGGCACAGAGGTGAAAGGGAGCGGCGAACCACTAAATCCCGGGGAGAAAGACTAGCACAAGGAAAGAGCGACGATTTTTCCCCGCAAGAATCGAGAAGGGAAAGATTGTGACGCTTTCAACTGGAACTTTAATTTTCGAGAGGCCAGGAGCGAGGCGACAAATAGAACGGAGGCCCATGCCCATTCCGGTGAGGAAAGCCACCTCCGTTCCGGTCGACTAGCGAAGAATTTGAGGGTCGTTTCGGAGCGGGTCTTTCTAAAACGCTCCATCATCAAGCTTTTTAAGCTAATAAGCTTTATCGTTATCATCGTCGACACAGCGACGCTTCCGCTCACAGGAATAAGCAGAACAGCGGCACGCAGGGTGTGACACCTCTCCTACACAGGGGAGGAAGAGGAACTTTTGAAGCCGAGGTCAAAAAGCGAATCCGGTCGAGGGTATTTATTATGATTATGATTATTATCGTCATTATTATTATTATTATTATTATCATCATCATATCATTTGCGGCAGGCAACGCTCCTGTCGGCAGCATTCGGTTGCTCTTGGCATCGCAACGGAAGAGCTGGATATTAGGTTGTAGGGAACTCAAACGAGTCACTTGTTACCGCGGTCCAATTTGGCGCCTAGCGGACAGCTAGCTCGCATATCATGTCCGCTACGGCGGACCAAGAAGCACGTTCGGACTTTTTCACGGTTCGTAGCACGGCCGGCCATCGACGTATCAACGCTATTTCCCAGTGGGTCCGTCTTTCGAAGGACTGTCCGAGGAAGCAAGCGAGCGGCTTCCGAGCCGGTCGGCCGGGTTTCGAATTCCTTCGTCGTTCTCCCACAGACCTAACTCCGTTCGCCTTCTCCTCGACTACACCGGGGGCCCCAAAATATCAGGGGTCCAGCAAGCGGGTCTGCTCCTCGCTCGGTCACCAACTTCACGTGTTCATCATTCTCAAATATCCCAACTCCAGCCGGGGAGCCGGGAGAGCTCTGGTTCTTTGATTTTCGCGGTGTCTCGGAATCGCGAGTGTCCGATCCGCTTCGGAAACTGGCGGTGACTGAATTGCGTCGCTACCGGACCAACTAGTCCTCTAATGATATGCTAGTTATTCTCGGGCCATTACTCATTTTGTGAAGAACTTCGCGCTCGATCAGACGCTCGCGTGGAATCCAGACGGATCCGCGAGTCAGATTTCCAGAAGGGACACTCGGCTTCTCTCGAGCTCATTCGGAACGCTCGAAGACGACCTTCTCCGGAAATTGAATAGAATCCGATCTCGCAGATGTTCCTGTTGAGATTCGATGAACTTACCAACAAATGTGACGTTGAGTAGAGCTTGGTAGATGAGACCTCCATCGAGTTCCTTGAGCTTTGGACAAATACCTCTTCTCCCTTCGCAGACCTTTTTTCGAACATCATCAATTGCGTGAGCCATGGCGTACACTGCGTCCACCACAAATTGTACCTGTCGCCGGAGAACAAAACGGTGAGCTTCACACGGCCAAGAGAGGAACGAAATAAAGCAGCAACAACAACGAAAATGAGTTCAGGAGCAAGGCGGAAAAGCTTGGACCTACTCAAGCTTGTTCGGCGCCGTCCAAAACTACCGGCAATAGACGAAGTCGCCGGAGCGTCATGGCGCTAGCAACAGCGGTTTGAGAAACTTTTGTTCGAATTGAGGCTATAGGCGTCTGAGGTTGACATCGGAGATCGGGGAGAAATGACGAGGACTTCCGACAGGGATAAAAACATCTTTCACCGATTCGGCTCGAGACTTAATTTGAACCAGGTTGAAGGTCACCAAGACAACACCCGGAGCTTGACGGGCGCTCCACTGTTTGAGCTGATGAACCTCCATGTAGATAGATAGGCGGAGGGAGAGTCTTATAGCGAATGAATCTTCGGACCTCGGCGCGTTAAAAAATCCATCGCGCCCTTGTCGATCACAAAATTCACGGTTGATTGTCGGGACTCAGGGGATACTAAGATAGAATAATGGATGGAAACGAAAATGATTCGACCAACCAAAACGAGGTGGCAGAAGAAATCGATGAGAAACCTCCAAAATCCGGACCGCGACATCTGAGGTCCGCATGCTTGGACCACGCGTATCGATGCTCTCGGGGGAGAAATCGCTCCAAGCGGAAATTCGATAGCTCAAGAATCTGATCAGTGAAGCGTTCCATGACAAGAATTTGCCTGTGGTTGGCACGGCTTCTGGTCGTTGGATAACGTGGGGTACGGAGTGAGTGGATGAGAGAGCTCTACGTGACTTAAGAGCGAGGAGATCTCCGTAGAGGCTCCTTAGCCAGTCGCCTCAACCGCAGTGGTGATTCGAGAAAGGGAACTAGGACGACAGCGAGCCAAAGAGACTGAGGAGTCGTAGAAAAAACCTCGCAAGAGAAGGCGACAGGAGCGAGCTGAGTAGGAGTGACGGGGGCGAAGAAGGAGGAGACGGAAGAGGAAGACAAGGAGGGAGAGAGATCGAAGAGAGAGAAGATCGAAACTCGGTGCGCTAGGTACCAGCGAAAGAGAATGGTCGGGCGAGAGCGGAGAAGTAAGCAAGAGAAAGGAATTACCTGCGGAGTTTTCTAAGTAATGGAGCCGCAGGGGAAGGGGGAGAGGGAGCTTGAGTCATTATCGAGTCACTGGTTAAACCGAGTCATTAGACAGTCAGCGATAAAGCAGTGGTGCAAACTTTCCGCGCTAAAGAACATCCGCGATTCTGCTGGCCTTTTTTCCGTTGATGCTATGCTCCGAACGACTGCGAGGTCAGAACAGCGGTCGTTACCACAGCTCGGCACCGCTACTCGGCCGCTCGGCTCCTTGGCTACTCGACCAACATCCATGATGGACAAAGTTCATCAACGAAAGACCCACGGCTCGAAAGCTCGTTGGGGAGAAGTCGTGCTCCGCACCTTGTTCTCCTGCTTGTATCCGTCCTTGGTGGAGCTGATGTTGAGATTTTGGGAACACGTCGGCAACGAGGAATTGTCTTTCTCCGTCCGTGACGAGTCGTTTCGGATTTTGCATTCGAAGACAGCTTCCCAGTAGTCTCGGAACCAGGGATTTCTGTCATTATTTTCCACAGTGAGGCCGAGCATATATGAATCGAATTCGTCTATCCGTCGGGATTCCAGTTCTATCGTTATGGCACCTTCCGCCGCTTCTTGCATGTCTTCATTGAGCTTTCGCGCACCCCAACCGTCAGAGGCGATCCAATAAAAGTCGAAATCATTTTTTCTGTAACAGAGACAGCGTTTTGTTAATATGTGAATTCCTGTCACTGAACGATTTTCCGTCGAGCAGACAATTTTGTGGGAGAGAGTGGGGAGCTCCGGTGGTCGCGATGTGACGTTGCATGAATTCGTCGCATTCAGCGGCGAGATTCCTCTTTCCAGGGGATCCTAATTCCTGGACCTCAGTAATGATGGCTGCTTTCGAGCATTGGGTGAGCTCACTCCAGGACCTCATTCACACGGATGTCGAAAGGTTCGAGGGAGTCCCATCCTCATCTCTCGAGTCTGGACGTTCCCATCAAGCCGACTCCGCATCTAGCTCGGGATATTTTGGAATCGATCGGAGCCTACGACCGAACAGAATTCGAGTACGCAAGATGATTAGAATTTCGGACGACGGATTCTCCTGCGGCTGCGGTCCAAAAGGTACCTGGTTTCTGCGTCGTAGCGATTCCGAGCGTACTTCGCATATTAAGAGCTGCAAACTTCGCTTGACATCTCAGAACAAGGGGGCATTCCGAACATAATTGATCCGCGTCAATTAATTATCCCGCCGATAGCTCTTGGCTACCACTCATTAGGCTTAGAAGTTCAGACGTTGCTAAGCCGACGGCCATTGAAAACCACCTTCCTTCTCGCGCACACATTGTTTTTTTCTAGGAATGCCGCTCGTATCCGCTAGCGACGAAAGTCCGCGCCGAGCGACGGGATCGACAGCTCCCGGGAAGAGAGAATGAATTGAGAATGACACTTGCCTTCCATCATAACTGCGTTTGATTTCCTTGGCGGCCCTGAGAATTCCTTCGGCATCTTCTGCTCTCACGAACAAGACGACGCCCTTAGCGTTGGGCTTGTGTTTGAGCCGTGTTAAAACTTGTAGATACTGATGGTCACTGGCTGAATGAGGTATCTGTGAAAGAACGGGAATATAATTACTCCCGTACGCTTCTGGAGGGTCGGCGTCAGCCTTCCCTTTCCCGGACATTCCAAGCGCTCGAAATCAATGAATTTCACATCGACAAGAAGAGGAAAAGTTAGCATCTGGCCATCACTGAATAGAAGGCAGTAGAATGGAAGGATAGCCCACACGCAGGCACCCTGCCCGCTCAGAGTGCTCAACAAGGGAGCGAAGATCACCGAAACCATTCCCCTTGGTGAGGTTGACGTCAGTTTTCGACGAAATCGCCGTCATGCGTTAATCGCTCCCCCTCCCCTCCCCCAGTGCTTCCGCCCCCAGCCCCGTGAAGTATCACAATCCAAGAAGGTTGGACGGTCTGGGGCCCAGCTCCAGAGGGGGAGAAAGGCTCCTCTTTCACGAACACTGCAGTCGGAGATGATTCCCTTTGCAAAACAATTCCTTATCGCGCGGACGGAATTCCGCACTTCAGTTGCTCCCACGAGACTAAGCCGGAGCTCAGAGGTCGCAGTACGCCATAAATCAGCTTCAAATGGTCGAGGACATTCTTGTTTGGGCTCACCTTCTCACTGATTGCGATGCAGATGTTGTGGTGTCTCGCTTCTTTGGTGAATTGCTCCTGACCCGACTCCCCATATTGTCCTTCGGAATACACCAAACTTACGTAGGACCAATTGAATGTTTGTACAACAGCAACCATAGCTAATGCCTGGAAAATGTCGAGGATTGAGAGTCTTTTCTGCGAGAATACCAAACTTAGGAATGAGCTTAGCTGCGACGCCGGAAGGCGGAGCGGTCTTTGTGTCAGGAATCTACTCTCTCCGGAGTTAGAAGGGCTTGAAACGCGCAGATCGCACCGCAGAATGATAGCTTTCAATGGAACTACTGCTGAATCGTCTTTTTCGATCTCTCCTCGAGATTCCCTGTCAGAACGCGGCAATTTGAACCAGCTCGCAGATAGTGGGACGAAGTTTTTTCGCTTGAAAATGTTCTCTGTGCTCAGCGGAGACCCGGATCATGGAAAACCCTGACTTCGGTCAGCCACACGGGGCAGGAGGCACCCAAGGGTTCCTCGAGCTTGACCATATTGCGTCCTTCAAAGGTTTCTGAGCTCCTGCACAGCGGGTTTCAGGAGAGGGGCAGCTAGCTTCCAAAGCGATTAATGCTTGGAGCATCGTTAAGTGCAATGCGAGCAGACCAGGGCAAACATTGTCTGTCGGGGACGAGCCTACCGTGATTTGCACGGGAACGGCCTGTCTCGCCGACAACGTAATTCTATCCGTCCCTCGGGGTGCTCTCGACAGCTGCGCAGGGTCGTCCTATCTCACAGGATCCTGCATTGACGCAATATCTGCTTGTCTCATTTTGATACCCTCGGGCCGCGGGAAAGATTAAAAAAGTGGAGCATATCATTGCACCGCTTCCGGTGGGGACAATTTTCGGAAAACCTCGATTTATTGGGGCTAAAATCGTTCCTGAATTTCTATTCTTTCTTCAGCTACGCTAGGATTCGGTAAGAAGCGATCCTCCGCCCGCAGGGAGCGGAACCTACAATTCGAAGCGATTTTGCTCCGGCGAAGGCATTCGCTTGAGCATATGCGGCTTGAATATCGGGCGGAAGGAGAATGGTCCGATGAACGCAAAGAACGAAAAAACCTACCTGGAATGTATCTGGTGGAACTGTTCGCGCGAAAAAGTCGTATCTTGTTTTATCCGACAGCGCGGTACCGGTGGAGGCTGGACTTATTTGGGGGATTCTGAACAGCCGCAGGAGGTTGGCTACCTGTAAACTCACTTCACTATAGGACCCACCGATCACCCCGCTGATCGCCTGAAATTCGGGAATCATGAGTGTCTCACGTCTGTCTCGCAGATCTCTACTAATCGGAGGTCTTAGGCCACAAAGTCAGAGTATGTGGTAGTTTGTAGCTAAAGGCAGCGTTTTCTCCATGGAGATCGGTCGAGATTCTCTTCAAATTGCTCAAAGCGGTGCCTTTCAGCAGCGTGTCAATCATCGACAACAAAGCCATACGTCCGTCACGCGCGCCTTCCGGAGGTGCGATGAATGTCGATCCAAGGCGAATGTTCTCCCCCGACTACAGACCCTCCCGTTTGCCGAAAGAACACCAGGCTTCCATTTTTCCATGTTTTTTCCCGTCTGTCGAATGTCTAACAAGGATTGTCGATTGATGGGCCTCAGAGCAATTTTCAGAGGGATTCATTTTCAGCATGAAGCAGATTGAGCAGAAAGGTTGAGGTGAAAACTTCGAGGGCTTGTCACGGCGCGTGTTGCCTTCAACGACAACGGGGCGATTGGCACAAGTTCGTTGCGGGGAGCGGCGTGTTTTCGGGAAAGCATCCGGTGATGAACACGACCTGAGAGAGCTCGTCGACGGGCGGATTGAGAGGAGACCGAATCGAAATCAGTTGAACAGGAAGAGCTGCGAGGGGTTCGGGAAGATTCGCGACAAACCGGAAGTCTCCTACGCGATGTAACCGATGACACGATTTCAGCCCGACGGAATATAGGTAGCGCGTATATTGAACTCAATCTCGACTGATTCCGAATATTTTCTCATTTTCAGATCCCCGCATTGAACGCCCCAGGTGAAAATTTCCCTGACCGCAGCGACAAGTGTACCAATCGAGGGAAAAGGACACCTGTCGCAGGATACACCCAAGATCGCAACAGAATGTCGTAGAACGCTGGTAGCCCTAGCAATAAGTGAGCCAGACGATGAAGTGAGTGAGTTAAGTGATGAGGAGTTACTTACGGCACTAGCTTCTGGTTTCAATGTGAGGTTCCCGCCTCCTTCGCAGTAATAGTTGTGCGGATCGGCGGTGTTGATGGAGGCGCGGATAAACTCGAGACTTTGATTCAAGGCATACGAGTCTGAGGAGCATGTGTCCAGGATCGTGGCACCCAGTCTCACACCGTCAAGAAGCGACGGATCGGAGTTGATTTTGTCTATGGCAAACAACATGGCCTCCAACCTCTGGATGCCTCTGTCCTTGTTGATACCGCCACATTTAGCGTGTTCACCCTGCAATGGAGGAACGAATTGCGGACTGACCCTCAGCACTGAGTAGGTAACCTCATTCCCTATGCGGGGGTGCCGCAGCTCGGCGGATTCGTCAATCGAGCTTTGTGTTCATTCGAGATCAGCATATGACGGAGTTCCGACCGGTTTCCGCTGAAGTCTTCAATAGCTGAGCCGAGTTCCGCTGGTCACCGGAGCGAGCTGTGTGTGACCGTCTGTGACGGGATGCGACAATGAAGAGAGTAATCGATAAGCAATTTATATGATAACACGCCCGCTCCGCTGCGGTTGTCGCAAAGAAAGAATGTTTCAAGCATAATTCGCACTAAGCTGTCACGGAAGCCGCAATATCGGGGTCATCCGCGATTTCGGAGTGGATTCGTCCCTTATGGTCAAAGGCGGCGATACTCGCAAGGAGTTGCCAAAGGAAAAAATCCGGAAACGGAGTCCACCCTGGAAGTTCGGCGGACGAGGAGCCGGTCCCTTGATTCAGACCCGCGGTCGTCGAATCGCCAGCAATAGCAAAGCCCAGCTCTAACGGTGATGTCCATATTTTTCCCGCTTACGCCCATGGCGGCTGAACATGGCATTTCACGCAAGTCGTCTCGGGCTCGCGCAAAAGCAATAATTCCGCTCGATACCATATCACAGGGGGCAAAAGTAGAGCGGACGCAAATGTTTCCGAGGCCACTGTGTATGTATCGATGCGTCAGCGTCAAACCCAGAGCAATAAACGTTCACATGGAGGCTAACGTATCACTGTAATAAAATGACGCCTGCCCAGTACAGGTAGCCGAGGGGCGAAAGTAGCGACACCAGCAGTTCCATCGAAATATGAGCATCCCGAGCTTGTTTGAGCCGACGGACATCTCTGTGAGAGCGAAGGGAAACTTCTACTAGGTGGGATTGTTCTCCTTCCTCGAAGTGTTCATGTCGAGTCCGTTCGTCACCCGGGCCTAGCGTCGGACTCAACCTCAAAGGTTACGAGCGACTGCTCACTGTTTACGACCGACCACGATGAAGTCTGTCGGCCCCAAAAGACAGGGCTCCGTTATTCGCCGGCCAGGGCAGGCGTCTGCTGAGCTCTGAACAGACGCGAAAGAAAACAGTTGAATTCAGAGAATGGGACTTCATTCGATATTTCGTCGAGCTGCTCCGGGACTATTATGACCCGTCTCGAATCGAGACTTCTCGGGAATCGTGTTTCGCCAGTACAGGGTCGGCTTCATTTTATATGTAGAGCTCCGAGAGTATTTAAATCGATCCACGATTGAAAAACAATGGCTTCAGCCATTCTTGAAGAGGGTATGATCCCGGCCTCTACATATATATCGCCGAACGCCGGACCAGGAATTTCCCGAAAATTGGAATCTCATGGGACGGCTGCAGAATCTCAGCGGGTTGGTATATTCATTCCAGATTAGGCGCACGGGTCAACAGTCGCACGACCACGTACCAAGCAATAATAGATCGAGGTATATCAACGAAGGTCTACGCCTCACCTTGACGTGTATAGGGAAAAGTCCTCCGAGAATGATGTCCCCTGGAATGTGGGCCTTCATAGCGTGCGCCCCGCCCTGCGAGCTCGGGCCTGTGTCGCCAGACAACAGCAGGGCCCACAGCAGCAGTCGGAGACTCCATGCTAGCCAGACTCCAGGCCGACATCCCGTAGGACTACTCAGAAACGACAGGTTGTAGCTCATCTTCATGTTACCACACGCTCCGATCCGCTAGAGCCTCCACCGCGAACCACCTACGGGAGGGAGGCAGGGGAAGACGGAAAGAAGTTAATTTCGGTTTCAGTCGCTTGATAAGGTACTTCGTAGTAGTCTTCAGATCGCGATCCATCCTCTCGAACTCAGGGGCCCAAATATGAGCCCATCATTGGCAAGATGGGCGGATACAGACTCCAAGAATCCCCATGAGCGGGAAAATTCTCAGGGATGCAGGTGGCGGTCGGCAGAGCTTGCTTCCATGAGGTTCGACTGCTCAGCTCTTCCATCGGTCATTGTTATGCGACGGGGCTTTCTGAAACTACCCCAAGAGCATAGAGACGTCGCTCACCTCCTGGACGTTGGCACGCAGTGCAGGTCGTTCTCAATGTCGTCGTGATTGAGCTTGATTTCGAGTTGGGAACCCGGGCCGCCCACAGCTCCGGCCCCCTCGCTTAGGGGAGTCAGGTCGCCACGAAGGGGGTCGCGAACATCGCCTGCAAACGCATATTGATTCATTAGTTTCACAACTCATATCGAGCCGTCAGTCTACCTATTCTCCGACGCCGACAGCTGAACGCATGCACGAGATTGCCCGTCTTTTGGGACTCTGCTAGAAAGGGAAAGGGAACGTCCGCGATCGGGTGATCCGAAAACTCGATCATCTCCGACGGAGTTCGCACGTTTCCTTCCATATCGCAATGATTCTGCAAGTCTTGTGCTTATGAAGCGGTGACCGACGCGGAGCTCCTTCAATTATTGCTTATGGAGTTTTCAGATTGCCTCCTACGATCGTGGGGCGCGGGAAACAAATTTGTGCGATCAGGTCCCGTGGAGATGATATTGGGCGATTCACCACAGAATCTCTTCGCGCTCCGAGAGTATCGCTGACTACCTCCAGGCTTCTTTATAAGACATCCATGAGACTGCACCATCTACTGCGTTTTCGTCTTAGCGAAAGAACGCCCGGAAAAGCACGAATCCGAGGCTCATTTTCTCGATCCTTTCCTCGTTGACGCGAACGGGTCCACTGATGGATACCGACGGATCGAGTCTCAAATAAACAATTATCCACCATCTATGCATCGATCGATCTGCGAGCGGGTCCGCAAGTGGAGAGGCCCGTCCGGAGGTCCTCCCGGCGATCTATCGAAACGAGTGACAGGTTGTCTCAATGCGCGATCATATGATCTAGATCTCGGACGCGTCTTCCCGTCAGCTTCTCTGAACACGAAAGGTGGCCTCGAAATTCTACCGACAGAGCTCTTCATGAATTTCAATGGCTGAAATTCGAGGTCAATGACTACCCGATTTAGTGACTTTTCCGACGGGGCCTCTCTTGAAATCCGTGATTTCCATCTATCGAGAATGACTCATTCGAGGACGGATAGTCTCCGAGTCGGATCAGAGAGTGAGTTTCGATCGGGATTTGACGAGCGAAAATCGTTTCGGAGAGCTTTCTCCGAAAACCGATGAAAGCCTCGGGCGATATACGCCTTAATCATCTTCAAAATTGTGGAATACTTGAGGGGAAATGAAGGGGGACTATTAGGCGATGGTGAGAAAGAAGAGATTGAAATGCCACAGAGAGAGCTGATTCTCGGTGCTAGTCAATTTGCAAATTCACCAGCGGCACTCTTCTGAAGATACTCTCCCAATCCTCCTCGTCGTGGAAGCGGAGCTCTTGTTGAGCGCCAAGTGAGGAGAGAGCGGTGATAGAATCACGAAGAGAAATATCGGCATCGCCACCGCGTCGTTCTCGATAGAGCCCGGCGCCGTCGTCAATCCCAATTCGAGCGCCTCCGGAACACACACTATCAGTCCATTCGATCGTCTGTAATGGGATATTGAATGAAACAGAAGTCTTCTTCGTCTCCAATAGAGCATCGCTAAGGAGGAATTGCTAGCGAGGAATCGCTAGACCGAGCGTCGATCGTAGGAGTGATTCAATATCGCACCGTCGCGCGCCGGTGTCAGCGCCGACAATTCTGAGAAGTGACTCGAGCCCTCTGCACGGAAATTTCACTTTTCAAAGCCGAACGTTTCGATCGCTCCAAGGCCTTTCGACGACGCTCTCATGCTGTGAATGATTGGGGTAGATCGTGGTATTTACCGTTCTACCAAGCTCGGCGTACCTCCGCCCTCATCGATGATTCACCCCTTGAAACCTTCGCCCCGAGGATTGGGAACAAGAAACTTAGTGTTCCTCGCATATTAGTTCGAGATGATCCTTGGAGGCTTCGGTCTCCGGAGCTCCGAAAATATCGAGAATAGAATCGCTCATGAGCGTTTGCTTCCCCAGCACGATCTCCAGAATTTCCCCGTGGAGGTGCGAGACTCTCGGAGCTGCCTAAGCGTGTGCTACACCGGTTCTTGCAGCCCGTCCTACCTGTCATCTCCGGCGTCAGAGATCGATTGGAGAGCGATAAAAAAAAGGTCAAACTCAGCGAAGTGTACATATAAGGGGTCAACCTCATAAGGAAATTCACGACTCGATGGCGTGTAGAGCGCAGCTCATCACTCTAACCCATATTGACTGGCGACTGGTCTGGGTCTCGACGAAAGTCTAAGCATGCAGAGCAATTATTGGGGTTGAGACATCCTGCCGCGATAGAATTAATAAAGAAATAATTGAAACGTTTCAGTAAAATGCAATATTGGGATCGATACGATCAGACGACGTACTCGAGGGCCTGAACGTTCCGAGCATACTGTGATGCCCGCAAGGAAACTCTCACCGCCAACCCAAGCGGGTGTCAGAAACCCTCTCCATCGGAAGGCTCCGGCGGAAGGAAACCGGTGTAAGGATAGATGCACCCGGGTGACGAATGATGCTCTTCATGATGCTCGGGGCTCGCGCTAGTCTTATCTGGTCGGAATATCTAGGCAGGCAGGCTCCGGGAACAACTTGTGGTCGGAGCAGCTTTCGAAGCTGCCATACAGAATACACATCTGCTAAGCCCACAATTGTAGCAAGTCATCACGAGCCATTTGACCTTATTAGAATCCCTGCGGAGAATCTAATAGGATAGCTCGGAATGGAAGCGTGGAATGGAAGGGAACCAGAGACAGCTCTTGATTAAGCTACATACGGTGGATCACCCGAGCCGAGAAGATCTGGAGCGACATGGGCGCGTGCCGCCTTACTTGCAGCGAAGCCACTAATCGAGGATTTCCGTTTCCCGTGAGAGAATATCGACGCAACCAGAGGGTTGTCTCTGACGATGGCAATTTATAGCTACGTACATACGGACCGACCAGTCAGCTGCCGACTGAAAGAGTCGATCGGCAGTCCACCGACAGCTCGCGACAATGACTTCTCACGCCAATCGTGACGCGTTTATGGTTTTGAGCAACGTCCGATCCGACCGAAGGCATGAACGATTAATCGGTGGAAACATCTTGGACAAATGACGCGCTCGTCGCTGAGGCAATTTGCGCTATTCAGAAACCAAGCTCCTGCTACTCCCGCTGGGAATGGCTTACGTTTCATGATTTGTGATCTACCTACTGCTTTTCGCTCGAGCCTTGAACGGCTAGCAATCTCGGGCGGCGAAGCTTTCGCATCGAGTTCAGATACTTTTTGAGCTCGGGCACCAGTTCCGTGGGACCCGTCTTCGATTTTAACCAATCTAAATAGACCGAGTTTATCTTTCAACATCGTTCTTTTAGCTTTTCCTTTCAGCGCTTTAGCGTGAGCGACGGGGAGGAGGACTCGAAAGACCCTGACGACACGATCCTCTGACTAGCGATGAGCGCTGTTCTTCTAAACTCTCGGACCAACCGAGACAACTCTGTACGCAGGAAAATCCCATGCCGACGTCTCATGGAGAACGTATTATATCAATAGATTCCTCCGGAATGATTTCAAACGAACCGATTTAGAGGCTTTCGTCCCGTATGCAGACCACATGCTCCTGTGCCGATTGAGTACAAATTCGACGACCTTTCCTCAAACCTGTCCGATGAAAGTTCACAAAGATCGTTCACGTCACAGCGCATAACCCACAGTTCGTGTCTCCCACTGCAACCAAGATGCATCCGAATTCCCTCGCACGGCTGCAATCAATGGGTGGGATTCTCCTCCCGAGATTTGGGCACAAAAAGGAGGAAAACGTTCTTCGATCCGAAGCAGCATTAATATCTTTGCTCTCACTCCTTTCCGAGTGTAAAACCGGTGTCTTGTCCAGGCTTGCGCTCACTTGCGCTCTTTTGCGCCTGCTTGACCGGCTATTCGCCTCGCGCTTGCGAAGCGATTGATTCCTCGATTGGTACCTTGGTAAGTGCGTGCTCCTATGTGTTTACCACAGAAAGCCCTCGTCGGGAAGGGTTACTGTGGAGAGTGTTACTCACTTTCAATCGCCAGCCGTTTGTTAGAATCGAACTGTTCTCACACCGCCAGCTGTAGTAAACGCTCGGGACGGTTTTAAAGACTCGCATCAGATCCCGGAGTGGTCCGAAGCGACGGAACGTGCGATCGAACGAACGAACCCACGAAGTCTACTCACGCATGTAATATGGTTAGCTCGTCCGTTGTCTCCTGACAGACATCCGCTGTCTTCGGGACGCATGCACCAACACCCTTTACACTGAATCTGTGACACAGGTGCCTCGGTTGGCAGGCGGATGAACGCGTGGGTTCTTGCGACAACTGTCAAAGTCAATGCTACGGTCCGGCGCAATTGCAGGTCTCGATTGTTGTGAACAAGTTCTGTGTTTGGGATTTCTGCTCGAATTACGCTCAACTTTGGCGCTCGTTCTCGCTCGAACTGTAACAACAGGTCTTGAGTGTCGTCGCTCGGAACACGGTGCCGCTCGCCCGACGATGCGGACGTTGAACTCTATCCGTCCAAGGAGCGAACATGGACCGACGACGTAAGGATAGACCTTCCGACGGACGGAGACTCCGAGACACCAATACTTCAACTGTGTGAGCTCGCAGCAAGCGCCATCGATCGCGGTGGAATCTCGTGAGACGCAGAAAAAAAACGGCCGCC